CCCTCTGCCAGCTGTATGGTGCACTGCAGTCTGCAGCACAAACTGTACATGTACTGCCAGTTCATTGTAGGTCACATTTTGCTCTGTTCTCATTGCTCATTCTGGTCCGAAAAAACTGTACGTGTATAAGGTTACCAGAGCAGAAGTGACAACTCTCTGATATATTCCCCACACCCTCTGCTGATCAGCAACTGTCCTGGTTCAGCTAGGATAGGGTTAATTTTCCCGTGTTGGGGGAAGAGATCTCCAGCCGGGTTATTCATACCATGCTGAGGTCAGGTCCGGCGTCAGCGTGGGAAGCTTTCCCGTGTGGCTTTGGTTGCGGGGAGCACGCGCGGCGGGCTGGCTGTGTTCACTGCGGGGTTTCTCTGCATATCTTTTGTCTTGTTTACTGTAACTGCTGTTTATTGTTGTTGTTATTGCTATTGGTGTTGTTCAGATTGTTATTTATTGCACTGTTGTATTAAATATTTCCTTATTTCAACCCTGGAGTTTGTGCCTCACTTCCAACCCTGACCGGCTGAGGGTGGGGGAGGGACAACAGCAACGTGGTCTCTGGTCCCGGCAGGGCCTAAACCACCACAGCAACAAATAGGGCACTGTTCATCCCCACTTCTCAACCTCCTGGACCAGCATCATCTGTCCTATTCACAAGCCTGAGCCATAGCAGTGATTACCCCTTAGCAAGCGAGCTCTACGGTCATGGATCACATTTGGAGACTGATGCTTTTGCCAGATTGCTCCTTGCACAAATTGGTTCACTTGATGGAGCTGTTTGAGGAGAAATATATTATCCTTAATGAGAAAAAAGGCTCTTGCCCTCTATGAGTAACAGCCTGATCTTTGACAAAATATTGGCTTCCTCCTCAACTTCTGGCAAAGTGCTGTGCTTTTAGTTTATGAATTTGTGTATTTTGTATTGATTCTGCCTCATTCTGATTGCCAGTAATTTTATCTCCTTCATTTTATTATCATTGTGACTGATGTGATCTCTCAAAATAGATGTCATTTATTTTTACTATTCCTATTACTTTCTTCTCAATTTATCTGTTGCTGTGCTAAATAAAGATCACAAAAATATTAAGGTATTAAATTTATATAAATGCATGCCATGGGATTAATATTCCACAGTTTGATGAAATCATAGATCTGTCCACTGAACATGACACTTGTGGATAAAGAGACTTATATTAACTATAACTGAATGATAAAAATTAACATTCATGAAGCACAACACATGTACCAGATGTAGGGGAAAAATATTTATACAATCAAAGCAATAAATATAATTTATCATACTTGAATATTAAAAGAAATTAAGTATACAGAATACTAAGTCCAGTCATTCATGACTATTAACTAATCCCTCTCCTCTTCCTCTGTCTCAGCCTCCCCCATTTCTCTCCATCTCTGTGTGAATTTAACTAGAATATGAGTGGATCTTCCATGTATGTAAACGAATATTGTAGCCTGTGTAAAATGATGCAATCATAACAATAAACAGCTCACAAGTGTGATTTCAGAGGGACAGCAACATAATTGTCCGTAAGTTTAAATTTATGTTTATCTCAGCCACAGTCTCTTATATAAATTACTCCAGTAATTTTAAAGGCTTTCTAGTAAATCTTATGTCCTCGAATATCAATGAAAACTAACTACAAAAATGCTATTGCCACGTCTGAAAGGAAGCCACGGAGTTTTACATCTAACTGCCACCCTTGGCTATGTCTAACTAGGCACAGCTGATCGGTCTTTTTCTAAATCTGCTTTTTGTCAGGAATTTGTTTCCACTGAATTCAGAAAGATTTTTTCCACTGGCTTCATCCAGACAGGATGATGGCTTAACTCATTTTCCTTTCTGATGCAACACAACTAATTACAACAGTATACATTCATTGACTTGGACATAGCACAAAACACAGATCTACACACTTTGGGACACAGGCTAAGGAATTTTTGTGAGTCTCTGTTTTTAAAGATAGAGCTCTATGTGCACTTTTACACATCTGAGGAAGCTCCTTTATCTGCACAAAAAAAAAGGCACGATTAACACCAGAAATAAAGTTTTAGTAGCCTTGATCACAAGCAGTGTATTGAAGACATGGTGCCGTGAGATGATGAGGTTAGATATATTAAAATAAAACCGCTGAGGTCAAGGCTGGGGCATCAAAAAGGAAAACCTCGTTTTATGGGCATAAATCTTTTAATACAAAAGGAAAAAAAACACCTATATGGTATTATAAGCACTTTGGCCATTTTCTCCAGTCCAGCAGATGCCAATCTTGCCTGCATAAAACACCAGAAACTAATTCCTTTGGTTTTGCAGTCTTTCTTCACCAGACCTGGAAAAAAACTGCTGAATACATTTACAATAGGACCAGCTTGTCTTCCATTAGTCTCTGAGTCAGGAAGTCAGACACAAATGCCAGGAGACTTTAATATTCAGATGCTGGAGGCAATTGTGTTAGTGTTTCCCATACTTGCAAAGCTTCCCAAGAGTCTCAGAGTCATGCACACACATCCGCAAGGCCAAGCCAGAATGATCCCCTCCCTCAATTACCTGGGAAATATTAGCTAGCAAAAGGACTCTGGTGTTACTCAGTGCTAGTAAGTGAGATGCAGAACTATGTTTCCTCTATAAGGATATCCCAGATAAACATGTGCGTAGCTTTAAGTATCACTGGCTATGGTTCAGAAAATCTGTAGTCAACAATGCCAAGAAGAAGAATTAATAAATTGCAAATATTGCCCTTTGAAAGGTCCACAGGAACCTGCAAACGGCTGCAGTGAGGCACCAGTTACGGCAAGCTCCTTGAGAAGATCCTTGAATGCACTATCGAGTGAAAGTGTTCTTCTCCCACTGAAAGCAGCTGATTCCTCCTGGGAACTAATGACAGCAGTGTCTGTCACTTTGGTGAGCAGGCTGCACAGGGAAGAGTTTCAGTAGCACAGTCATGTGTGAGTGTGGGCACAGACTCCGATCTCCATTGATGCCACAAACCTATGAGTAGTCCAGTGAAAATCTTCAAGCTCCTTCAGAAGTATTGCATGGTAGACAGCAGCAGAACCTGACAAAAGGGTGAGCAAAACTCCACATAAATGCAAGTTTCCTGCAGTGCACTGCTTGTTTAATGAGAAACTGACAGTATTGCATCTAATCTGCCACAGTATATGGATGCCTCGTGAAAATGAAGACTGACCAGTGTAAGGAAAAGGTTGTTAGGAAGAGTTTCCTACTGAAACCTGTAAAGAATATGAATGGCAAACCTGTAGAATTAGAAAATGCTGCTCTGGCTAAACAACACAGGTACTCAGCAGCTGTGAGGCACTTTCTAGCTGGATTGCTACTGAATGTCTGGAAGGCACCAGGAAGGTCATGAGCAGGAGGCAGAAGTAAGATTAAGATGAAGTGTGGAAAGGAACTCCCAGCTACTGAGCAAGTCTGAAGTTACTTGTATGAAGGACAGGTGCATTACAAAACCCTTCACAGAAAGCACACTGTGCTCACCAGTGGGTGCAGCAGCCACTGTCACCAGGATATGCTAAAGCCCTGTGACTTAACTAAAGGCTGAACAGTCATTAATTGCACTCTAATATCTCCTGCTAAACATGGGAAGGCAAGTAATCTCCACGCAAGAAGAAGAGGATCAGCCATGAGCCACTCTCGTTTGTCACCTCATATCATATGTCTACACAGAACGAATCAAGCATGACAACACCATTAGACTGTAAACTTTTAATGCAGCACCAGCGAAAAAGTGTGTAAGTACAATCCTGTGCCTGGGAATATGAACAAGAACTGTGTGTTGTGCAAGCAGAGGAACTGTAACTGCTGCTGCCTGTGTTAGCAGAACAGCACGTGATTAGCTCAGTCAGTGGATTTAAAATGGGATGGGTAGAAAATTTCACAAAATTACTGAGAGGAATGAGAAATGTGGCAAGTGCAAGTATCACCTGAAAAAAAAAAAAAAGATTGCCTGCTATGAAACAAGGAGACTTAAAAAGAGGCACAAATGGACAAAAGAATGCCAAGGGAGAAACACATCACATATATCTGGTACCTCAGTTTTCCCTGAAATTGCCAAACTCCCTGTGAGAAAAAGAGATGCTGAATGGGAAAACAAAAAAAAAACAAACAAACAAAAAAAAAAAAAAAAAAAAAAAAAAAAAAAAAAAAAAAAAAAAAAAAAAAAAAAAAAAAAAAAAAAAAAACAGATTTTACGTTTATACAAGTTGGAGGGTTCCATCCCATAATAACACCACAGCTAAGACTTAATCACATGCAGAAATTATCAACTGAAGAGAAATGAGTACTAAATCTCATTGACAAGGGTTGAAGCTACATCCAGCTACTATGGATTTTCAAAATTGTAATATCACTCTTCAGGAAAATGGTCTGACTATAATAAGTGCTAATATGGAAATTTCCTATTCCAGTTACTCATTTTTGAATAGTTATGTCATAAATAGATGTTCACCACTTCTGACTTCTTTAGAGAAGAATGACTTGATTATTCAGCAATACCACAAACAATTTCCACCAAAAGCACTGTTCAGAAAACACTTCAAACATCTAGAGGATTAGAAACATCATCTGAATAATAAACTCAGTCTTAGGAAATGGACCACATTAAACATATATTTGTCAGTGCTTTCCAGTTTTCTGAACCGCACCATGACTGAGTGCACTTTTGTAAGGGGAAAGTGTTAGACAGCTAACCTTCAGGACAACTTGTTGAGCACCTCTCAGTTTCCTTTGGGGACATTTTTGGTTCACACTTTCTCATGTAACAGATATTGGGATACTTCCCACCCCAGCACTAACTATTGCCACTTCAGCAGAATCAGTTGAATTATACATTCCAAAGTTCATCCTCTGAAAACTTAGCAGCTAGTGGTACAACTCAAGAGAAAAGAGAAAAAAAAAAATCCTTTTTTAAAAAGGCCTTTGCTGCTCCATGCTCTCAAAGGTGCAAAGCATTGCAAGACTAAGGGTGAAAACAAAACTCTAGTATATTCAAAATTGTTTCCCTTTTTCTTCACCTCCAGAAGCTCCAGCCAATGCTCCTAAGTGGGAAAGACATAGTCAGGCATGCGAGTGCTCTGTCTTTGTGTGAGTCCTTCCAGGCTCTGGCAGATTTTGTGCCATGTCCCTCCTCCACTCATCTTCTTTAGAAGCAGCAGTATCTTAGCATGTGAAGACTAGCCAATGCTGAGGTGCTTGTGTCCTTTTTCATGGTGCTCTAGGGATTACTGGACAACTTGCATCTTTTCCACATGATTCCTTTCAGGAGCTTTTCACAGCCTGTTTTGTTTAATTCTGTGCTGCTGAGTGAACTAGAGACATTGCCTGACTCGCAACACACACACACACACACACACGCGGTTTCGTGAGGTATTTTTAGTGTGAACTATGTTTCTTTAGCGTGACCTCTTAGAAGAAAAGCTCCTCATGTTTTTTTCTCTCCAAAAGATAAGTAAGGAGGGGAAAATCTCTGTATCTTTTACAAGATAATAGAACTGAAATTAATTCTGAATTAGCAGAGCTCTTGGTCTTCAGGGAAATTTAGCTAAAATGGCCTGTAAGTTTCACAGGCACAGCTGCTTAGCTTGTGTTCTGAATGTGTTGCACACTGATCACCACAGAGTGCTGCATGTGTACTATGAGACAGGAGTCCTAGCCTCATCGCAGCTTGGAGCTTGGAGCTGTATCTTTCTTTCTGCTATATTACCTCTCTGATGGACAAATCCTGATGTTGGTGCAAATCTGAATGCATTTCTTTTTATTCAGAGGAAATCCTCCAGACCTAGGGTTCTGGACAGAGAATTTGGTTTTGTCATACACTATTTTTGGAAGTAGAGTCCACCATGCTTGAAAAAGCTGGGAGGAGAATTCCTGAGTCTAGTTCCAGATTGTATTGCCAGCCAGAGGATTACTGTAAACATTTTTCAGCCTTTTTATTGTCCCGTTAAACACATTGCAGAGCTCTTATGAGAGATACAGGAGATACTTTTGATTATCTGGTTGCAACAGTCCTTTATTCTTTTAATCACTCTACATGTTAAAGGATTCTTTTTTTTTTTCTTTCCTATAATGGTATAGAGCAGAATAAAATATAACTACAGGCAGCAAGGCAGGATCCTGAATTCACTGGTAGATATTACCGTATTGGACAGAGTCAGATGAGATCTTGTGAGATACTTAAAACTTCTCTCCTATCCAGTACTGGTAAAGTTCAGTTCAACACACTTTAAACTGGTGATGGTGAACCAACTGGGGAAATCCAGAGCAAGGACTGCTCTGCAATATGTATCCCCTGATGAATTGCAAATGAAGCAGGAGAATCTTTGTCTAGAGAGAGAAAAGCCAGAAATACAAGTCTTCGAATATGCAGAACATAGTTTCTGATGAGAAAGTAATAAACTTTCCTGAATAGTATAGCTTACTGGAAAATAAATCAGGAACTAAAACTGGAGTAAGGAAGGTCTAGGAAAGAAATTAAGGAGAAGCACAGGGTATAATTACCTACAGAGTCTGTGGGATTGCTGTTTCTGGAGAAAAGTGAAGAGTCTCACTGGCTGATGTCTCAAAACATCCTCCAGCCTTCTTTTACACAATTGCAATTTCTGAAGCTATTGTGAAGCTATCTTTTTCTCTAGAATCAGAATCACAGCTAGTTAAAAGAGCCTTCCATAAGGCTCAATAAGAAGTAGCTTGGGGAATTTTGCTGCAGAAACTCGATAGTTTGCTTATCAACAAAAAGTGCTGTAAAACTACTGTCTCACCTCAGTATTTCATTGCAGGCCAAAAAGAGTTAGCAAGGAAATAAAGAAGTCTATAAATCTTCCATTCTGTAGCACCTGACATCTCATCTGGCTCTGCAGAATAACTCATTTGGAGAAGATTCACCTTCTTGTTCATCTATTTCACACCCTGGAGGCCCAAAAGGCCAGAGAAGTAGACCAATGGTTTGAAGCAGTAAAAAATAATTTCTCTAAGTTCACTAGTAGACCTACGCCATACAGACATCAACCAATCACAAAGACCTCAATCTTTGTGAATAAAACAACCTTTTCGTCTAGCCCTGTAGCATACTGAAAGGCACAGACTCCCCCAGATGATGGAAAAGGAAAAGGGAAAGAAGGGAAAGATGGGAAAGACGGGAAAGACAGGAATGACACTTTATTGTTACAGCAGTACATATTTATGCTTTTTTGTTAAAGCTATTACTACCTAGCTAGCAAATCAACAATTAAGCAGTTATCCACTTTTATCCTATCACTATAAAGACTACTTAAAACACGCGTCACACTGACCAATCACCCTCTTGTTCACATGCTGTTCATGCAGTGATATTTTCCACAGTTCAGATTCCTCCCCTCCCCCAACCGTTCTGGGGATTTTCCACATTTTGGTGTTGTAGCTTTCCATTGTTTTCTCCAGCACGTAGGCACAGCTCAGCGGCTCCTTACCTTACTCTAAGTATAGCTCTTTTCCACAGTGCATAGCTGTCTCCCAAGCAGTTTCTTATCTCACTCCCAAGGCCTGCTTTTTATCAAGGCTTCGCTGATAGCCCAGGGGCCACACAGGGCTCACAGGCCGATGTTGACTTGCTTCTTTCCCACATAACCCCACTGAGAAGAGTATGTAATGAGCTGATGAGGAGTTAGTACATCACAGGCCTGGGTGAGCTCACTATTCTTCTATTACACCAAGCCAGGTGGGAGCCCACAGGTGCAGAACTCCATGGAGATCTTGCTGGAGATCATATACACTGCTTCCCCAGAGAGGTCATTAACTGGCGTATGCTGCCAACCAAGTCAGCGACCTGGTCTCTGGGTCCTGCTCCTCCTCGCTTTCCATGCAGATGCAACTACATCCAGGATGGGGTACAGAGAATGTGAGGAGCAGCTGACAAAGCCAGACACATTTCAAACGCCTGCATTGCTTTTCTAGCAAAGGGAGCGAAGCATCATCTCCTGGGAGATGCTTTCTCATTCTCTAACCTTCAGAGCAGCTGAGATATATACATGAAACACTGATCTCTTGTGAGAGGCCAGCACTCTATCAACATGGCACTCTCCTACCAGGAACAAAGTAACTGTAAACCATGAAAATTCAGGGCCTCACCTCAACACTAGACCTACTGGAAAGAAAAGACAAAGCCCAAAGAAAATGCAAATCTTGTAAGTCTGTAAGCCTGAATTTAGAGCATATTTCTAGATCTAATAGCGTATGCCCACCAAGATGCCAGTCTGGTCTTTGCGTCTGCTTTTCCTTTGCACAGAGTTGGAACTCTGGAAGAAGCTGACAAAAGGACAGATTTTCCCTGGTTCAGATGCACTTATTTGCTGGAAGACCCACCCAGACACAGGAAAAGCCCCAATCTCCTATCATACAGCCATGATTGTTCAGCCCAGAGGTAAACTGCAAATTCATTTCAAGGCAAATTAATTACCCTGAAACCTAAGCTGTGTCACAACTTTTGGTAGCTACATTCTCTGTTTATTTTATAACAATATTCCTTCCAAAACCCACCCTGGGTGACACAGCATCCTTCACTTCCTATGAAATGTTTGTCTGGGGGTGGGTCATTACAGGGAAAGCTCTTCTTCAGAAACGACAGCACTGCTCTAGTATGTGGTCATGTTGTAAAAAACGTGATACAGAGATCATGGAAGGAGAGTGTGTGTTATTGACATGTTGACAGGAAGGAACAAAAAGAACAATTTATCTTCACAGTTAATTTTCTGGTCCAGCAGTAAGAGCATTAGTTTCTGTTAGCTGCTTATGCTCCTGATTCTAGTGCTTTGTAGCACTGTTCATTTATTGATTGAAGGCCCTTTTAAGAGACAAGGCTGACAGAGTTGCAATGCATCTCTGAAAGTCTCAAGCAGACACATCAATCATTGTCACTGACCTCAACTAGGTTTGTTACTTTCTTCAGTTCAGAAATGATGAGTAACATGTTCGTTTGTGCCTGTTGTCATATGCCCCAGACACTTGTCATGCTATAAAAACAGTAGCTTTCAGTAGCAATCTCTTGTATAATCTCGTCAGCCCTGTTCCTTAGTGCATATATGCCTTTCTTCTTTTTTCTCCAAATGTATTGAAATGAGCACAAATTAGAACCACAGTAAAACTGGTGGTTCAAAAAAAGGGTTGCTCTTCTCAGACCTTAAATATTACGATGACATTTCATTAAACTGCATTTTGTTGCTTAGGGCACCAGTTTGAAATAATTCCTTCATAAACTCTCATGTTAGGAAATCAGTTCAGCAAAATCTATTTTCAGCTGACAATTCTGAAATAAGAGATCAGAAATTACACTCTAAATTCAAAAGTCTAATAATAGTAAAAAGATAGATTCATGTGAAGCTGATCCAAAAGTCTTGGCTGTATAGTTTTTGTTGTTGAAAAATACCATTGAGGAGCAAGAAGTAATATTTATTTATTGGACTAAATGATGATAAAGATAAATAAATAAATAAATCAGATTACACTTTTTTTCTGCTAAACATGAAAGGTTAAGAGCAGGCTAACTGGACCCATAACCTTGTGTGCTCTTTTCTGGCTCTCAGCAGTGAATCTTTTGAAAGACAATTCTTTTCTGCAAGCTTTACCTCTTAAAGCTTCTTAGCTTTGTTACTGTATGCCCTTGTTAAGAAGCAAATGGAAAATCCCGTTGGATTAAGTGCTCTATTTTATCTCCACATCAATATTTCGTAAGGGAATTACACTTAGTATGTTCCACTCTTCTTGCTCATTATGCATGGACACACAAGGAGGAGCAGGTCAGTAACTCCTATCCCACACCAATGTGCACCAAATAGCACTAACACTAGCTAGTTCTTGCAAACCACCATTATTCCTCACTTGTTTCCTGTTATCCTTGGCCTTCCCACTCTCCCCACCTACAGAGCATTAAAAATGTAACACTTCGAAATACAGCTTTGTGGATCTGTGGGTTTTCCAGCAGCATATTTTGAGCAGTTGGCATTTAACGTCAC